TACTACAATTCCTTTCCACCTAAACTTGAACATGTTTCCATATTTTAAAAAGTTAACTGCTTCCAAATCTGCAGTATGATAAGAGTCTCCTCTCAGGAAGAAAAAAATAACAATCATAATAATTCCTTAATTCTTAGTTTTCTAAGGTGTGTGTGTGTGTGTGTGTGTGTGTGTATAAAATATATATATATATATATATATATATATATATATATATATATATATATATGCCATCAAATTTAATGATATATTCTGGAAGAGTAAATTAAGAGAAACTAGGATCGGAAAAAGTTAATTTAAAAAATATATATATAAATAAAAACACAGCTTCTTTTAGAAGTTTCAAGCTCTCTAAATTTCTAAATCTGTCTGAATGTCCAAGTTCTTTTACCAAGGTTGAGTGAGACAGAAACTTAGAAACACACTGGTAAGTCACACTATTTGAATCGAAGCAATGTGCTTCTATGTTTTCTAAAGAATTCATTAATTTTCCAGAAACAGATGATCTTGTTCAAAAGGGTGACTTCCCTAAATATATACACTTTTTTTCTTTTTAATGTTATCTTCTCTTTAATCCATTCATGTATGTAATAGACCAGAACGAAGAAATCTTTCTTAAAAGTCAAAGAACTTTAATAAACCAAGGAATAAACCTAACAACAGCCCATGACTTACCATAGGTAAACACCCATAATGCAATTTTAATGTCAATGATTTTATCTTCTATTTTCATGGACTAGTTTCTACATCATAGGAATTCCCAAGAAAGAGAATTTATTCATCATGGTATGTGTATAGGCACATACCATATAGAACCATTATTGGTACTAAATAACTACCTTCTAGAATGGTGAATTGGCTCTTCCTCTTACAGAAAGAAAATGAATAAATGTGTTCTGCTTTACAGTAGAATGTTGTTAATGGTATTGAAGAAAATTGGGACAACAGATTTACTACATTTATTTGCCCTTGGTCTATCCTATGAAAAATGCTTGCAAATCCTTGTTTTAGAGTTGAAAATGTCCAACCTAGTACTAGACTTTTCTAAATTTGTGGAGTAGGGTTGCATTTGTCATCAATACCATGTATCCACTCCTGCACCATCCCTTCCTATAACAAATAGGAGTTCTTTCCGATGCATGAGGCTTCTTTCCAAAGGGTCTGCAGGATAGATGTCCCTCCTTAATAATGGACCTGATGTTTATATCATCTTCCCTCACCTCCAGATATAGGTCTTTCATAGACCAGAAGCTCTGAGGTTAATTGTGGATCCAAGTGCTCTTGTCTATTTATAGCAATTTGAATGGGAAGGAAGGTGGAGAGGCAGGAGTTTCCCACACTTAGCCCAGTGAAGACATTTTATTGGATACTCTTCCTCAACCATAATCAAATTCTTTCCTATATTTTCCAAAACGAAATGACAAGCTGGCCCTCAGTAATTTAGTATCCTGCTTTAAATTTTCATCCTTTCAATCTTATGTATTATGGGTTTAGTTCAAAAGACAGAAATGCCACAGGAGTATCATACACTGTGGCAAGATTAATAGAGAGAAATTTTTAAATAAGAGGATGTTTCTAGAGCTGCCATTACACAAACTAGGTGTCATGAAAACAGTCAGAGCTTGGTGGTCTTACAGCCTTAATGATCTCCCTTCCCAAAATTCTCCTGATTTGGTTGAAGTGAGGATTCAATGGCTCAAGATGTATTTAGGTATCAGGGGACATATAATAGACCAGATACTATAAAAAGTAATTCTGCTTCGTTAAAATCAATCAACACATTTTTAATGTCCTGCTAAGCTTCAGGAAACAAAGAGTAATCCTAAGTTTGGGGGAGATTTTTTGAGGAAGAAAGATGAAACCAAGACACTGAGTCATCAACCAACATTAAGGTTGCAGCAAGGAAAAGTACCTAAATCGTCTTGAAGAAGAGTAGGAACCCTAGCCTTGAGCTATTGCTAGGTGAAGATGTTCAACCTATGACTCTTACATTCAAATCTGTGAAAAGGGGACAAGATAAATAAAATCACCTAACAGAAAAGGGCATAAGTATAAAACCTCTCCACCTGGGATGTGGCTCTGGATTGAAAAATACTGTAACAAAAATAATAATAAAATGACATATTATGATATCAAGAGTAACAACATTTCTTCTGAGACTTCAACCAGAGATTTGGTCTCATTCAGGCCTTGAGCTTAAATTTATATTCACTCTCTGTCTAGAAAAAAACCCAAAATGAGAAACTGAAATAATTTGAAATTGGTAGCACCTCCTGGCACCAGGCGGAAGCAAACACAAATCTTGCCTGGAGGAAAGCTTTCCAATTTCTGATCATCAAAGTTCCTGCAAATTAATTTCAACCAAAAATGAGCTCACACACATACTTATATGCACACATAGCATAGGAGAACTAGCTATCATAGGAAAGAGTTAGAAAACAGAAAATAATAGATTTAGATCCCTATGGACTTCCAATATTGGGAATATCAGAGACAAGATGTTTAATAACTAATAATGGAATACTTAAAGACATAAAAAGATTTAAAAAATAAGTGGGAACAAAAGATTATCTTATCCTTGAAAAAGGATAAAGTATTACTTAAAAAAAAAACATAATCAATGAAAAAATGATTCATTGAATAAGTTTAATGGGATAGTAGGCATAAATGAAAAGAGAATTCATGAATTTTAAGATAAAACCCAATGAGTATCCCAGAATGTGAGACAGTGATATAAAGAATAAAACTTATTTATAAGATGATGGTAAGATACATGAGGATAGAGTTAAAAAGCCTAAGGTTTATCTAGTGCAGGCTGAAAGTAATTAAGTAGAGAGAAGAAGAAAGAAGCATTACTGAGATGCTGAGAATTTTTGAGAGCTAATGGATAGATACATATGAATAATACATATGAACTAGATGCATAGGAACTAATGAATAAATGCAGAAAACATAAACATATCAAATAAGACAATTAAAAAGAAATCCACAATCAGACACATGGTAATAAGACTGCCAAACACCAAATTAAAAGAAATGACCTTAAAAGTAGGTTTTGGGTGTTGGGAGTGGTGGTGGTCAGAGCACTTTCAAAGGCAGGACAGGCTGACAGCCAGCTTTTAAATAGCCAGATCAAAAGAGTCCAGTGTTGTGCTGGTGAGGTTTTAACCTGGATGTCTAGCAGTGGGGAGAGCCCTGACTTGCAGAATTTCTGAGCTCCATGGAGTAAACACTCCCAGGATGACTGATATCAAACTACCCTTGTGACATCACAGAAAACAGAATTGGGCAGAGATGTATGTAACAGGTCCTTATGAGACATTGTGAGCTGGCTCCATCACACCCATGGATAAATCCTTCAATGTCGAGTTGTACGTCTAGTAAAATTATCTTCCAGGAATAAAGATGAAAGGTGAAACTCCTGTTTTCAGATAAAGGACCCCTTATACAGAAAAAAATTCAAAAGAATTTACTTCGGAAATAAGGAAATTGAATCTGGTAGAAAGTAGAAGGTTCCAACAAATTAGTGATGAATTAATAAATCAAAAAAGCAGGGTCTACATGAAATTATAGTAGGAGAGGGGAATGGAATAAGAAAGAAATTTCAAATTCAATCTAGAAGTCAGTCACTGTTGATTGGCTCATTCAACTGCCATTTTAGCAACTAAAACTGACGTTTCCCAGACCTGACAGCAGATAGATTTCTGGATGCACATTACTTTCTGGAATTAAGTAGTGTTTATGAATCTGGAAGGCTATAGTGTGACAGGAGTCATTTTCATGCCTTTTAAGCTTTTTCTACTGGCCAGCAAAATCATGGTAACCTGAAATATTCTCTGCCACCCTTTTTAAGAGACCTTCTCCGCCTCTTGGGAGTTGACACATGTCACTGCGGCCACAGTGGCATCTGGACTCTAGCCTCACATTAGGGATGGCCTGGGAGTTAATAGCTCCCCACTCATGAGCTCAGAGCTGCCTCGGGAGTTACTCCAAAAGACTCTAACAAGAATGCACACTGTAAGTGCGGCCACAATTTTAAAAGCAACTTATTTCCTCAGTTAA